AGGAATCAAGACCCGGACTTGTATCCGGCTTGTACTAGAAGATAGGCTAGTCCTAGTCCTACTAGGACTCCACATGTAACCCGCCCCTCTAACCTTTTGGGGATTATATCTCAAATGTATATAAGTGTTTTATGATTAACCCGACTTGACTTTTGACTATAAGTCGCCAGCTTATGACAACCATCATTTATATGGAAGCATTGGCTTCTAAGGATTGGGTTATCACCCTTATTACACAGGTCATGTAAACCGGCAGTACAAATTCAATATCACAGTGGTCATTTGGGGGTTTCCTGTTCAAACATAGGTCGTATTCGAACCAAAGAGAACATAGCTATCGATACCCACTTTAATCGGCAATGCCAACGCCACTTGGGGCTATATGATCGTATTCGAATCTTAGCATAAACCCTTTTGGAACGGTTTACTGATCGTATTCGAATCAGAAGCCTCAAAAAAATTATCTGTTTTTATAGAATCGCAAGCATTTGAGTTGTCACAAATATCATATGTGCCGGCTCTTACAGAATTGAGTTATCAACTTCACTGTCCGGGTCACATAAGCTGGCGGTATCATTCAAAGGATCATAGGGATCTTGTGATCTACCTGTGTGCAGGATAAGACTACATTTGGGTGTTTACCCGCCCTGGTTTTTGACGTTAAGTCGCCAGGGCATATGTTGTTTAAACTCTTTGCGGGATTTGCAGAAATATGACATATAAATGATTAAATTCAAGCTCATTACCAAAGTTCATGCTTCAAAATGATGATCCGTTCTGGATTTTTCTCAGAGGCTATAAGCCGCAGGGTTACAAAAATTCCGGCTTACAATGGAGGCGTATTAACTCACCATTGGCCAAGAGCCGCCAAGTCTTTAAAATCCGGATTTACTTGTCAACTGATGAGGTATTGAAACCTTTAATAGCCAAACTGGCTGGATTTTCATAATGACATTGATGATTGAGGTTTTCATACCGGATTATATTATTCAAATCTCGAATAGCCAACATGGCTGAATTTCTATTGTGATTATCAATAACCAGTGCCATGATTGAGGTTTTCAAAGTCGCTTTAGCACAACGGCTATTATTTTTATCAATGGATATAATTTATTCTACAATGGAAGGAATAGTCCCGAGTCGCTGCAGGCTTACGACCCGACACTTGGGGGCTATATTACTCAGATTGAGATTATATCAAATATGCAAGTCCCATGTCACTGCCAGCATGCACCATGGCACTTGGGGGCTAATGTAAAGTCATTTTTTGATCAACTTATTGAAGACCGGACTCATTCCATTGTAATGAGCCGGCCCTTAGGGGCTACCAATTGCTCCTGTCAAAAATTCAAGGTACACAAGCATTAATCCATTATATTGAACAGTCCACTATTTAGTTGGTGGAGTACAAAGCTCTTAACCTTGTGGACGTGGGTTCAAGCCCCATGGTGGATACTATATTATATGGTGTTATTATCAATTATATACAAAGTCCCAGCTCAGTATTATCTTACTAAGCCGGCCCTTGGGGGCTACATATTGTTGTTCAAATTTACATGGTTATATCTACAAAGTCCCTGCTCATTATTTGCATAATGACCCGGCCCTTGGGGCTACACTGGTTGAAGTTTTCATGAGCATAAAGCAATTACAAGTCCCAGGTTGCTGCAAACATGACAACCCGACACTAGGGGGCTACATGTGTAGAATATTCAGTTTATATGATGGAGATGAATAAACCGGATTTCTTCAAGGTTGCAACATTTATTGGAGAAAGTCTTAAACCATCACTTTGTTCTGCTCAAGACTTGGGGGCTATAGGTAATATGGATATAAGGGAGAGAAAAATCTTCAAATTATCAGTTTTTCAGGAGGATCAATTACATAAACCGGTGTCAACAACAATTATGACCCGGCATCGTCTGTTTTATAATCAGGCAGTTTTTGGTAATGATAAGCGGCAAGTTTTACATCTTCAAGCCGGCTGAATATCAGATGAGTATTTCAAGACCAAAATTATTTAACCCGGTGCCTTGGAAGCCGACTCAAGTGGATTATTCTTCACAATATTTTTCTGTGAGAAACCAACATCAGCAAATTGAGTATGAAGCTAGCTTATTTGACCTGGATTTTCTAGATGAAGGAAATGACAATTGGGCTTAAGGATAATCAGGTCCTGTCTGAGGAGAATATTTAACCTGGAGCGCAAGGAATTAAGGATGATCAGGTGTCGGCTTACAAGAATTTTTAAACCGGAGCACAACCTGTCAAAGTTGTTCTGGTGTTTATTTTGCAGGATCTGTTTAACATGGATAAATCCAAATTAAACTGGGGGCTAATGTCGGGGATATACCCTGCGGCATGACCCGGACAGAGTTATGACCCGGCCGGACTTGGTGATTCAGCAGAAGACCCGACTGGAGTTAGGCGACTCACTGGCGATCTGCCTGGACATGGCGGTTTACATATAACATGCCTGGACAATGTGACTCACTGGAGACCAGGCGGGCGGGTCAAACGGACGACAAGGCCCAAGGCCCAGTAGGCCGGTTCATGTAATGGTGGGCCGACTTAAGAAGAAAGGTGTAAGGAGTATTTCCCTTACAAGGAATCAAGACCCGGACTTGTATCCGACTTGTAGTAGAAGATAGGCTAGTCCTAGTCCTACTAGGACTCCACATGTAACCCGCCCCTCTAACTTATATAAAGAGGGGCAGGGCTCCCCAAAGAGGGGACAAGCAACAAGAAACAATATCTAAGGCTAGACACAAAGGGAGAGGCGGCTTAGACGGCGACTCTCTCATGATCATAATGAGACCTAGCCACAAACAACATGTAGGGCTATTACCGGATGATGTTTCCCGGGACCCGAAGCTGTCTAAATCCTTGTCTTGTGTTACGTCTCTCGATTCCGCTCAACCCCTCTCAAGCTACCGCATAGATGCGTTGGCCTCGCGACTAAGTCCTGACACTAAGGACATCTGTCGTGACAATTCCACGACACTCTGCATCCGGATGATGCACACAATTATTTTATTAATTATTGATACATGACCTTACAGAGTCATACAACAGTAAGACTAAAGCCACCGTCTAAGAAACATCTATCGCTACTCATATCCAGTTGATGAAGGGGCGATGATAGTCTGGGCCTAATACCAAACAGACCTTGGAGCCAAACCTAACATCTAAGACCTGACGTCCCAATCAGGACGCCTACCGGATATGGGTACCCACTAGTCCGGCGTGCTCCTCAACCAGGACGCCTGCCAGGTATGAGGCCGCCGCAGGCACCTGCCACCAATCCATATTCAGAGCTGTACTGGTGCATCTATCTTGCCCGGTCTAGCTGCCGCCGATGCCACCATGACGCCAGACAGCGTCACCCTCCTGCGCGAGTCCATCTCAACTGCGCCACGTCACCGAGATCCGCCGTCATCAATAGGCAAGATGAAACACAACTCCTCCTCTTGTACCCTCCAACCAACACTTGCTCCAAAACGATGGACCCAGGAGGGAGAACGACATCGAAGACGCCGTCATCGTCCGATCCCGTAGACCCAGATCTAGGGTTTCCCCTGGAACTTCTCGATCAGCTTGTTGGTGAACTACAACGACGATACCTCGAGAAGGGAACGACGTTCGAGACGCCACCATCTTCCACCAAAACCACAGTCAGGCGCGATTTTCACCGGAAGCCACGTCGCCCCGACCTCGCGGCTGGCTGTAACCGAGCGGAACCTCACCACGAAAACGTACGTCGTCGTCGCTACTCCGGCATCTCCTCACCGGCCCCTCCACATGCCGCCGGTCAGCGGAAGGCCTCCCTGCGGCGGATCCGATCGGGGTGTTGGATCCGCAGTCACCGCCGTCACCATCCCGACCAGAACAACCCACCCCGTCGGATGGGGCGCTGCCACCGCCGCCATCCATTCAGGGCCGCCGCTCCGCCGGCTATGGTGCTTCGGCCACCGCCGCACGGCCTGGGGTCGTCGCCCCAGCCGCCGCCTTCGGATCGCACGAGAGGAGTCGCCCCTGCCACCTCAGATGCGATCCACAACGTCCACCCGCCCAGGTGCCTTCGGCATCGGGCCCGGTGCCACCGCAGCCCACGCCGGCGGCAGTGGCGGCAGAAGGAGGTGCTAGAGGGGGCTGGCGGTGCTAGGGTTTCGGGGCCCCTGGCGTCGCCCAGGGGTTGAGAGTCTTGTTTTGTACATTTAGCAAAATCTTAATTTCCTCTTTGGTAGTGGTTGTGCATCCTTTACTGAAGAAGATAGAATATTTGCTAGAATTAATATGCTGGCCAGAAGCTTAGAAATAAACATCCAACTGGTTGACACCTCAGTCGCCCCAACACCATTACTAGTCTTTAAAACAATAAACTGTCAGTTGCAAATAAAAGCAATAGATGACGCCGATGGCGCTACTTGGACCACACCAATCTGAGACAACTCAACTCTGATCACAAAAGGCCCGCCGAAAAGAATAGGAAAAGAAAAATTGGATCTCCCTGTCGGATCCTCTCGATCCTTTGTATTCTTCAAGTTTCTTACCATTGAACAAAACTTGTATGAGACCGAGTTGACAAGACACATTACAATGTTCGCCCAATGCTCAGAAAATCCCAATTCAACCCTGCCACAAGCCTTCACCATGTGGAGCTTCACGGCACAATGACGATGCTTAACAGCTCTATGTTTCCCTTCATAAAGTGCAAGCACTCAGAAATCACAATAATATCATCCGTTATCCGTCCTGGAACAAATGTCGACTGCTCACTTTGAGACGGTTTGCTATCACCTTTGATGCAATTTTGTATAAAACATTGCCTAGTCTTATGGGGTGAAATTGGGTTAACAGAGTCGAAATTTTTTACCTTGGGAATTGGGCTCACAACGCAGGTACTGGTTGTAACGCTCACGGGCATGCTCACATGGGCCGCCGGAGAGCTTGGTGGCCGTACGTGTGCGCCGCCGGACGGTGGGAGGGTGGGTCACATCTCACGTGAGGAGGCTCCTGATGACGGCGGCCTGCTCGGCGGTGACGGTGTCGGAGGCGAGCAGCGCCGCGAGCGTCTCGCTCAGGTCTTCCACCTCCCGGTGCAGGCTCCGGATGTAGTTGCACGTCGCCTGCAGCACCATCGCCGCGGAACCCTGCAAACAGTACGAAGGTTAACTTTCAGTGACTCCGTCCATGCACACTGGGCGCGCGCGTCGCCATCACCTGCCTATTCATGGAAAAAGCAGCTGCTACTTTCGTTAGGTACTCTACTCACCCTGTGAGCGCCATTGCGAGCTTGAGACTCCGGGAGCAGCGCCTGCAGCTTGGACAGCAGCTCGGAGATCTGCTCCTCTGAGATGGACGGCGAGCTCCCGGCGCGCCGCGTGCGTGACCTCCGGCTGCTCGACGACATGCTCGATCGCTCGCTGGCTCACAGCCCGTGCTAGATAGCTTATGTACGTACCTATCGAGCTGTAGCGGAGAGTGCCACTCCCACACGCAGCTAGCAGCTTAGCAGACTAACAGTTGGGTGAGTTTAGCTGCTAGCTTGTTACTTGTTTTCGGTGCAGGTGAGTGGCAGCTGCAGCCGAGGCGAGAGCTATATATAACGGCCCGAGCAGCAGCTAGCAGAGCGAAGAAGATGAGGTGAGTAGCCGCAGCGCAAGATGGATCAGAGAGGGGAGGAAGCAAGCTAGCTTAGCAGGTGGTAGGAGGAAGAGGTGGGAGCTAGTTAGAAAGACAGCGAGGGGTGTAAATGTGTGACAGGGAGAGACAACGGACAGAGACGACGTGGTGAGCCATGGAGAGCGGCAGCACCACTCTACTACCAGTGGTACTGAGTGGTACTCCCTCCGTTCCTAAATATTTGTCTTTTTACAGATTTCAAATAAATTACCACATATTGATGTATATAAACATATTTTAAAGTGTAGATTTACTCATTTTGCTTTATATATAGTCATTTGTTGAAATTTCTAAAATATGTATATTTAGAAATGGAGTAGTATTCAGTGACAATTGCAGCCGAGGTGAGTACTATAGCAGGAGTAGACCGCTCAATTGGGCATGAGCTTGGGCCGTAGGTCTAGGACGTACGAGTTGGATCCAGTGAATGTTTGTTTATTTGTTCTGTTAGTAGTATTAGGCCCAGTTCTTTTACCAGAATCTGGGGATTCTCCCAGAATCCGACACCTACCCAGCTTCTCCCAGAATCTTTGAGCCCCCTTTGTTCTACAATCCTGTCTAGTTACGGTCTAATTAGACAGGATTGTAGAACAAATGTGGCTCAAAGATTCTGGGAGAAGCTGGGTAGGGGGCGGATTCTGGGAGAATTCTCAGATTCTGGCAAAAGAACTGGGCCTTAGTTTAGTTCTGTGGCCTCTGGATTTGGCTTACACATGGGGAGAGTGTGGACTGTGGAGGTTTCTCTAGATCTGCATGATGCATGCTGGGCACACATGCACGGGCATCGTCCTGGATAGATTAAGAGATCATCAATGTCTCCTAGTGCATAATCATGCATAGATTAATTAAATGAACATGTATCAATGGACAAGGGTTCATTTCTGAATCCAAATAGGATTTTACCGTCTCTCTATGTCTAAGTTGACTGCGGGTTTTTTTCTCTCAAGTCAAGACCGACATGGAAAGTGAATATTAGTTCGGGAAAAAAGTACAAAAATACAAGTTGCATTCTACTAAAAAAAGGATGTATTGTTCTAAGGAAAACGCTTGGCTTCAACCGACGAATTGCACGCGAGAGCATCATCCTCCTCGTCCGTTCGACGCGTGTCGCTGCTTGCTGCTCATTGTCCGCTATCGGTTTCTGCAGCAATGTCTCTGTTGCAAAAATAGTTTTAGCAATACCTTTGTTGCAAAATAAATAAATGGTAACAAGATTTCTATCATTAAAAAAATTTACAGCAAGATCTCTCTTACAAAAAATTTGTAATCAGTCCTCTGTTGCAAAAAATAATTCTGCAACTTGACTTTGTTGCAAAATTTTCTGCAACATGACGCGCGTTGCAGAAATTTCTTGCAACACGACTTGTGTTGCAATGGCAGAAGGTGACGCTCGACCATTCAATACATCAAATCTGACGGCTCGCGAGGCGACAGATCTTTTAAAAAAGATCCGATGGCCGACACGTAGCAGCGCCCTTGTTCTAAACCGACCGGAACTTGAGAAAATCTAAGTCCATTTAGGATTGGCAAAACCGAAAAAATGAAACAGATGGGAACTGTTCAGCAGTGCCTTCCTTACAAATGTGTTCTTAAACAGTGTACTAACCAACAAACATAGCCTTACTTGAAAATATGCGCGTGTGCTTCTGTATTAGAGCCATGGGTGCAGGAGTTCAAAGACTGTTTGCATACCATTTGCCTACTCAACTCGTTCGTGCAGGGAACATCTAGGGACGCTGGAAGATTCGTATAGGGTTGTCCCAAGCTGTGTGTGCTGTGTGGTCTGGGGGAGAAGGACTGAAGCCCGACGGAGGGCCAGAATATAAAAACACACTGTGTGGAGCGCAGAAATGCCAAGCGGTGGAGCCGGAGATGCCGATTGGTCACTGAACTCCACGTAGGCCATGCTGGTCCTGCCCAATTAACAAGCTTTTCCAACAGGCTCACGCCATCGCCATTGGCTGGCTAACCATCTGCCTCGCGAGGACGATCGAGAAAACTGGTTAGTAGTAGTATAATCATTTGGACTGTACGGGGCAACAGTTCCCATTATAGAAATCCACCAACTACCATCATTGGATCCGTCCTCATGATGCGCCCAATCATGCACTGACCGGTTGTAGTAGAAGCAGTGTAGATATACTGGACCTGTATATGTTTTGCCATTTCAAATGGCATCTACCGGTTGCTACCTTTGTTGCCTGAGCATCTTCAGCTAAATCATCTCTGTCCTGTTTCTACCTTTGTTATGGGCACGTTTGGTTGCTAGCAAAATAACCATGCGGGCTCTTGGGGCCAAATCCAAGCAGTTTGGTTACCTATGCCACGGTGAGAAACCAGTCCGCGTGAAACTCAAAGCAGTCCTCGGCCTTACCTGAGAGGAACACTCAAATCAGTCGTTTCCTCACATGCAGACTCATGTCAGTGTAATTTACACTGCGGGGGACGTTGCGCGTTGGGTTTTCCGGATAACCAAACAAGTCGTAGAACTTGGCTCAGTGCAAGCATTCCCTCATGCAGGCTCTACCGTGCCAGGTTCCAAAACACGTGAAAAGTGGGATGGGAACCAAACACACCCTATGTTCCATGTTTCCGCTTTATGTTGACCTTGTAAGGCTTAATTATTGTGGGTGTTCTGCTTTTGCAACTTCAGGACCTTCATTTAGATGTGTGGGGTTTCTGGGATGCGTCCCACGATTACGAGGGACTGTAGTCTAGCTTTCAGCAATATGGTTTTACGTTGTTTTCTTTTGTGTTGTTTGTATGATAATCTCTCGTGGTTTCAATTACTGAAAATCGACCCTTTTTATTCGACAAAATTCAAATGAACCGTGAAACGTAACACTTGCAAAATGAACCGTGTGTTCTATCGATAAAGCAACAAACATCTCTAATTCATGGAAGCACTCGCAGCTAGGGTGGTGGGATGAGCAAAATTCACTTCTAGTAATTAAATCATTTTAGTCTTTGCCTAGTTAAAAAATAATTGTGATTTCATTTTGGTCTTTTTCGGCGAAATCAATGGTTTTCTTTTGTTTTCCATCGTGGACTATTAATATATACCATTTCACATTCCAAAAATGAACAAACATTGTATTTTTAATGTGTAGCTATATATTTTTTATTTCCTTTACTTCTATGGTTCCATCATTAAAAGGTTTGTTGCATTTAATATATGCACCACGTGCATGTACCTAAAATGTGTGAAATAATTCTTTGTGCAACTAAGTGTGTTTTTGATAATTTTCTGCGTTTACAACTTTATTTTGGTCATTTGCACTTTATATATACATCAGTGGCACATTTTCAAGATGCACAACTTGTGCTTTTTTAACATGCAGAAATTTTTGTGTGTTACAAAATATGTTCTCCATATTTTTCATACAATTTTTCCTATTTAATTTTTTTGACTCAATGAAACTTTGTGTTTCCTAATGTGGTATTGGTTGTTGTGTTACGGAATAAGTTTCTCGTTTTTTTTGTTTTCACCTTTTATTTTGTTGACTATTTTAGCTACTTGATTTCACTTGAGCCACGAGTCAGAAAATTCTGATGTAAAGTGGAACTGGTTAAGATATTATTGGACATCTTTCCCAGATATATGTGAGCTAGATGTCTATTTTCAGATATTTTTTTGCCGATAGGCTATTTTCATTGTTGGATGACCAAAGTGAGCATATTGTGTAAGCTTAGTGAGAACGACTAGAACTTACTCTCTCTTTTTCTTTATGAGAAATGGGAAATCAATTGTGATGATTGGCTCCACATCAACTGGTCCACCACATTTGGATATGCTCGCTCGGTCTTTATCTTGTTTTCTTCATCCTTTGCTATTACATGTATAGTGATGGACAATCTTGAAACGATTGTGATATACATATTTTGTGATTGTCGGGAGAGAAAAGGGGGTGTATACTTTGACCAGCCATATTACTTATGATGAGTGGAACCACCGTGTACTTTCAGCACACCACAACAAGTTGAGGCACAGAAATGTAAATTTAATGGTAAGGAAACACTCGCAAAGGGAATTAGGGGAAAGACTAGGTGGTGTGAGAGTAAATTCACTTGTAATCCTTAAAGCCAGGAGTTGCGCTTACTACTATTGACAACATGGCATGCTTTATTTTAGCGGGTCCAACATGGCATATTTAATATAGATATTATTGTACATAGTTATGTGGCCATTTCAATGCCTGATGATAAAATTGAACATCTTGAGCAAGTAGAGTCAATGACTAAAACTTAGTCTCATTTTCTTGTTATGATAAATCACTTATTATTATTGGCTCTACATCGAATGGTCCACCAAATCGGGATACATTCGCTCTGTCTTTTTATCATGCACATGTTTCCTTCACCCTTCGCTATGTGTGTATAGTGATGGACACTCTCAAAACGATTGGAGTCAGCATCTTTCATGATTGCCAAGACGAAGAAGGAGGCGTATAATGTGAGCAACCTTCCCGTTTTTGATGAACAGAAGGACCATACACCATGAGCATACCACGAAAGCTCTATTGTTAAGCCAAGAAAAAGTCCCAAATTGGGGGAAGGACACACGCTCCTAGGTGGTGTGTAATGAGTCAAATTCATTCATAGTCTCTAGACTCTAATCCCTGATGTTTTGCACTTACCTTTGTTATCCGAGTGAAAAAAAATGCTCGTGTTGCTCACTGAGCTTGGTAAAGTGGCATAGCATGTTTTAGACAATATTGTACATCTTGACAAAAGTTATGTGGGTAAGGTCACCATTTTTAGAGTTGGGTGACCAGTGTGAGCATGCCATGCAATTGGGAGCGAGGACAAGCAAAATCGACTCTCCTTTTTACGAGAACTCACTTGTGATGATGATCCGTGCTACATCAACTGATCCACTAAATTCGGATACCACTCTTTTTTTTACGCGAAATCACCTATGATGGTGATTGCTCTACATCAACCGGCCATTGAATTAGGATATGCTCTTCTTTTATGAGAAATCACTTGTGATGATGATTGATAATACATCAACTGGTACACTACACTAACTCGAATACGCTTGCTCGCACATGTATCATATAAATGTTTCCTCGAGCCTTCGTCATATGTGTATAGTGATGAACAATCTCCAAATGATTGGAATCAAAATCTTTCATGATTGCCAAGACGAAGAAGGGGGCATATAATGTGAGCAACCTTCCCATTTCTGATGAATGGAAGGACCATACACCATGAGCATACCACGGGAGCTCTATTGTTAAGGCAAGAAACAGTCCCAAATTGGGGGAAGGACACACGCTCCTAGGTGGTGTGTAATGAGTCAAATTCATTCATAGTCTCTAGACTCTAATCCCTGATGTTTTGCACTTACCTTTGTTATTCAAGTTTAAAAATGCTCGTGTTGCTCACCGAACTTGGTAAAGTGGCATAGCATGTTTTAGACAGTATTGTACATCCCGACAAAACTTATGTGGGTAAGATCACCAGTTTTAGAGTCGGGTCACCAGTGTGAGCATGCATGCAATATGGATGAGCATGCATGCAATATGGAGTGAGGGCGAGCAAAATCTACTCTCCTTTTTTTTTACGAGAAATCACTTGTATGATGATTGCGCTACATCAACCAATCCACTAAATTCGGATACACTCTCTTTTTTTACGCAAAATCGCCTATGGTGATGATTGTGCTACATCAACCAGATGAATTAGGATATGCTCTTCTTTTTACGAGAAATCACTTTGTGATGATGATTGATGCTACATCAACCGGTCCACTCCACTTAATTTGGATACACTTGCTAGCACATGTATCATAGAAATGTTTCCTCGAGCCTTCGTTATATGTGTATAGTGATGAACAATCTCCAAATGATTGGAGTCAACATCTTTCGCGATCACTAGGACGAAGAAGGGAGCGTATAATATGAGCAACCATGCTTCTGATGAACGAAATGACCATATACCATGAACATACCGTGGCAATCTCTATCAATAAGGCAAGAAATAGTACAAGTTGGGGACAGGACTCACACACCTAGCGGGTGCGTAATGAGTAAAATTCACTCGCAGTCCCTAACCCTGGGTGTTTTGCACATACTTTTGTTATCCAACTTTGAAAATGGTTGTATAGCTTAGCTCATCAAACTTGCTAAAATGCCAGCATGGCATGTTTTGGTCAATATTGTACATCCTAACAACTATTATGTGGGTTAGATTGCCATTTCACGTGTTGGATGACCAATGTGGGCATGTCATGCAACTAGAGCGTGGATGGGAAAATTTTACTCTCTTTTCTTAACGATAAATCACTTGTGATGATGATTGACGCTACATCAACCGGTCCACTCCACTTAACTTGGATATGCTTGCTCGCCCATGTATCATCTAAATGTTTTCTCTAGCCTTTGCTATACATGCATAGTGATGGACAATCTCCAAATAATTGGAGTCAACATGTTTCGTGATCGCCGGGACGAAGAACGGGGGCGTGCACTGTGTGTTGAATGCACCCCCAACGGCAGCTAGCGGCTCCTCACAGGTAGTCTTGATCTTTCCCAGAATGGTGGCCTAATGGCCATAGCACAACAGTATAGGTGACGGCATGGCTGCCGCAATTTCACATAACTCCTGGAGGAATGCCGACACACATTGACACATACGTGAGCCGGCCGCATCAGTTTCTCAAAGCGTCTACTACTAGTTGTAAGCACGCGCGCACATGCTACGTTTCCCTTTCATCTGTTCGGTTGCTGGTGTCTGGCCGGCCTTTCTCGAGTCTCGGAGGTGAACTGGATGCGTACGTGCATGCATCTATTGCAGAGAATCAGACCCAGACCGTGCCATTTTTCCTCCTTGGGCAAGCTATACTTTAACCATTATTACTGTTTTTGTGTCGGTTAAGATGATCAAATCGAGGATCATGCTGGTTGAGACGGTGCTGTTGGAGTATATATTTACGTACGAATCTACCTGCCATTAGACGACACACGCTCGACAATCATGCCGCATCTGCTGTTTGGGACTGCATGCAGGTACACACCCTCCTGAGCCAAGGACGAAACCAAAATGGGAGCCCCCTGCAGGTGCTCTACACTCTAAGAGACAAAGAGGGAGGTCCCTAGCTAGAGGGTGGCACAAGACGTTTTGTCCCCGGCCCGGTCATTGGTCAAGAAAAAAAGGAAGACCGACAAACCAGAATCTAGCCCTCCGGGAGAGATCTGGAGTAGGCCGGCCGTCTGGCCTGGACCACGGCGGCCGGTTCGACGAACCGTTGCTCTCTGCTAATCATCTCGACCGATCCCATGGTACGTGGTACCTAAGCTTCTAGGAACGGGTACTTAATTGGGTGGGTCGTAGTATTTGGTGGTACTCCTAGGTTGTGGATGGCATCTTTTTTTTTTGCGTTCAAACTTGAGAGCTTTTATTCAACGAACGAGCTCCTAGCATCATCAGCCAAAAGGCTGGTGAGCAGGAAAGAGGGTCTCGAGTCAGTCCAACTCTCGGTGACCACCAGTATACATGCATGTTTCGCACAAAGGTGGGCTAGTACATTGGTTGCTCGCATTACATGTTGAATAACAAAAGAAGAAAAGGTAGCAGCTAGCTCTCCAATTTCGACAAGTAAAGGTGCCACCACAGAGAGGCTGTTGTGGCGAGTGTTCCAGAGATTAACAATCTCCAGGCAATCCGTTTCCATTATCACATGTGAGAAACCCCGTAGATTTGCAAAAATAACTCCATCTCGAAGCGCGAGCGTCTCACCGATAAAAGGATCCGTGACCCCAATATGAGGTTTACTCCAAGCACCCAACAAGGTTGTGTTAGAACGTGCTACACCACCCACACCCACCTTGTCGGAATCCATACTCAAAGCTGCATCCGTGTTGATCTTAACCACCCCTGAGTCCGGCGGTCTCCAACCATGACCTGGTAGCACTGCAGCATGAGAATGTGGGATATCCAACAATGCCAAGTCCTCCCGAATCCGCCTCACCGAAGTGAAAGGCTCCAGCTGGTCATCATCATGAGTCACTCGATTTCTCGAGTGCCAGATTGCCCACATAACAGATATCATTTGGGCCCTTTCAGTGTCCGTGAATTGATCATCACATATGATATCACGAGACCATGTATCAGGGTGCAGCCGCGGCCGTCGAACGCCAAAGAGACCGTGAGCCTGCTCCCAGAAAAGTTTGGCATGAGAGCAATGCACTAAGGTGTGCATGAGATCCTCATCCATTGCATGGCAGCCATTGCATCTACTTATAGGTTTGATATGCCGATACCGAAGCGTGCACTCATCTGGAAGAATGCGACGAATAACCCGCCACCAGAATACACGTACCTTCGGCAAAACCTTGAGCTTCCAAAGCGACTTCCACATCCGTTCATCGGTCTGTGAGGAGTTTGTAACCGCCCCTTCCTCTTGATCTAGCCGCTCTTTCCGAGTCACGAGAGCACGGTACGCGGATTTTACGGAGTAGTTGCCGCTTCTTTCAAAAACCCAAGCTCGAAAATCATCACCCCCACCGCGGTGCAAGGGGATATTCAATATGGCGTCGGCGTCCGGTCGAATGAAAACATTGTAGATCAATTCCCGCCGCCACGTCCCGTTGTCATGGTCGATGAGCTCACCGACGGTGGCAAGAGTCGTCCCTCCCGGCATTACCGTAGGGGACAGAGATGAAAGGCCCGAGATCCACTTATCTTCCCAAATCGAGATAGTGCTGCCGTCCCCCACCCTCTTAATGAGACCAACATGGAGAGCTTCCCTTCCGGCGATGATCGCTTGCCAAATAGCAGACGATGTGTGTGGTACTGAAGCCTCCATAAAATCACAATCCGGAAAATAACGCCCCTTCATCACTTGGGCACATAAAGAGTTAGGATTAGTAATAAATCTCCATCCATGCTTACCAAGTAGTGCCAGGTTGAATAACTCAAGATCGCGAAAACCCATTCCTCCCTGACACTTCGGTGATGCAAGTTTCTCCCACGATAGCCAATGCATAGATCGTCGATCAAGAGATCCACTCCACCAGAATTTGGCCATACTAGCGGTGAGGCCTTTGCAAACCTTCTTCGTTAGACGAAAACAACTCATACTATAGGTTGGAATGGCCTGGATCACTGATTTAATAAGAGTTTCCCTCCCAGCACAAGCTAGTAGCCGCTCTGCCCATCCATTCATTTTGCTCCTGGATCTGTCCCCAATATGGTCAAAAATCTCACTAGTGATTCTCCCAACCGCTGTGGGTAAGCCCAAATATCTGTCACTAAATGCCTCCATATGAACACCAAGAACCAGTTTGACTGCTTGCCGTCTTGCATGCGGTGTATTGGGCGAGAAAAAGATGGCACTTCTGTCACGATTGATTGCCTGGCCCGAGCAAGAAGCATAAATCAACAAAATTGCATTGAGTCGGTCCGCACTCTCCTGAGTTGCACTGATGAAGATGAGACTATCATCGGCAAAGAGTAAATGACTCGCCCACGGTGCTCAAAAGGAGACACGGATGCCCCTGTCAATATGAATGCCCCCATAGAATTTGAGCAGAGACGTAAATCCTTCAGCACAGAGTAAGAAAAGAAATGGTGACATAGGACAGCCCTGCCGCAGCCCCCTAGACGGGGTGAAGAATGGCAGCAACTCCCCATTCACCCTCACCGAGAACCGAACCGAAGTGACACATTTCAGTACCAAGTTCACGAATTGAGCACTAAAACCAAGCTTGACCATGATCGCCTCGAGGTAGTGCCATTCAACTCTATCGTAGGCCTTCATCATGTCTAGCTTGACAGCACACGAGAAGTTCTTTCCCTTCTTCCTTCGCCTCATTGTGTGGACACTCTCAAACGCCACCACCACGTTATCAGTGATCAGACGACCAGGGACAAAAGCACTCTGTTCCTGGCTAACAACTATATCCATGAACTCTTTGAAGCGGTTAGTTATCATCTTGGCAGCAATTTTGCAGGGAACAGGACACAGAGAAATCAGCCGGTATTGAGTGATAGACTGAGGGTTCCGTACCTTAGGAATAAGTGTGATAGAAGTATCATTGAAGCCATAAGGTAGATCACCCCCATTCAAGAAACCAAGGATCGCCGGCACTAAGTCATCCTTGATGAGATCCCAATGCCTTTGAAAAAACCCTGCGGTAAACCCATCAACGCCCGGTGCTTTGGATGGAGACATTTGAAAAAGGGCAACGCGGACCTCGTCCGGCTCGAAGGGTTTATCCAAGGAGGTATTCATGTCCTCGGTTACACGCGCCGGGACAAACTGAAGCAACTCATTCATATCATTATAACCTTGAGAGGAGTACAGATCGTGGTAGAATGATTGCACTTCCGCCTTATCTTCATCCTCGGTCGCACATGTGGACCCGTCCGAGCGCTGAAGATGGGCAATGCGGTTCACTCGCTTCCGCTGCGCTGCTAGGGCGTGATAGTATGCCGTATTTCGATCACCTTTCCGTAGCCATGGCACGCGCGAACGTTGCCGCATCCAAATCTCCTCTTGCCGCAATGCTTCCCGCAGTTGCAGCACGATTGACTTTTCCTCGTCAGAAGGCCCTCGTCCAATGGATCTCCTCCTCAAGACTTCAAGCTTTCTTTGTAATTTCCGAACCCTCTTAGCGAGGCAACCAAACTCTTTTGCACCCCACGCCCCAAGCTCAACTTGGAGTTGTTGCAATGTGTGTTGAATAGCGACAAGATCTTGGCCGGCATGATTCCGTCGCCACGCTTTCGCAACCAGCTGATCATATTCAGCATGAGACTGCCAAACATCTTCGTATCGAAACTGCTTTGGTCCTCTCGTGTGTTGTAGAACTTGTTGCTCAACCAAAACAAAATAGTGATCCGACTCCACTGAGCTAATGTGTCTCACCCGTGCGACTTCGAAGCTCTGAATAAAAGCTTCATTGGCCACCCCTCTATCCAGTCGGGCTTTCACATTCATCTCGCCGACCTGACCATTATCCCATGTGTATGGCACCCCTGAGAACCCAAGATCCTGCAGGGAGCAATCATCTAGGACGTCCCGAAACGCACGCATCTGCCACTCCACCCTCTGAGGTCTGCTATAGTGTTCTGTGGCATACATCATTTCGTTGAAGTCACCAAGACATAACCATGCTTGATGCGGTATTGCGTGTAACCGTCTCAAGCAACTCCAGCTGTGGTGCCGATCCTCGCTTCTCGGGGCTCCGTAAAACCCCGTAAATCTCCACTCGTGCGAGGGGAAACCAACTTTCCGAGCCATCACATCGATATGGCCGGAACTATAAATCTTAAGATCAACAGAGATCTCACTTGACCAAAACAAGCCGAGGCCACCACTAAGCCCCGCACTGTCAACAGCAAAACAGCCCGAAAAACCAAGTGTATGCTTCAGATTTTTGACTCACTTCGCCCTAATCTTTGTTTCCATCACAAAAATTAGGCTGGGCCCTTCCTGCTTCGCAATTTTACGAAGCTCCCGAACTGCCTCGGGGTTGCCAAGCCCCCGGCAGTTCCAGCTGAGATGTTTCATTGCTCTCCGCAGGGCTGACTGGCAGCCGCCGCCGATGTGTTCTCCGATGAGGGTGGGGTAGGTTTCTTCTTCTTTGGGTCTGGCTCCGAGGTCTCTCTCTCTTCCTTCCCATTGCCACCATCAGAATCCTTATTTGTTTGAGCTTTGAACACCACCATCTCCGTAGCAGCACCACTGCCCTCCACCATCGCATTGCTGGTGATGGCCAAAGGGTCGACTCTACGGTATACTTTCTCCATCTAAGGCCCCCCCCTTCCTCTTTGGTTGGTTCCTTCTCTTCGGGGGAGAGTTTACCTCAGCTGTGGCGGCCGCATTCGTATTGGAGGAAGAGGCATCTTTCTTGCTGGCCGCGGTCTTCTGAGGCCCTCTGGATGAATCATAACTGGACGCCGCTCCCTTGCGCTCATCAGGAGCACGCAGGTTTGTGCTGAAAGGAAGCTCGCCATGCTCATCCCGTGTACCCGTAGTGGGGCAAAACAGATCAGAGTGACCTAGGCGGCCACACGAGAAGCAGAAGTTTCGAACTTGTTCATATTGGATATCGTACCAGTCCCTGGATTTCCTCTTGGCAGAGTCGATTAAAATCCACCGCCGTAAAGGTTTACTCACATCTAGGGTAACCCTAGCTCTCAGGAATCCCCCAACAGGGTCAAACTAGACGGAGGAGGCCTCTTTATCAATCTGTTTTGCAATTGCTTTCCCCCAAGTATCATTGCGCAGATTGAAAGGCAGATTTAGGACCCTCGCCCAAAGTTGAATTTTATCGAACTTCAGTTCGGACGGCCTCATGCAGTCTTGGAATTCTGAGAGGATCACTGCATGCCGGCTAACGTGCCACGGAGAACCATCTCGCACGTGATCATGATCACGGCGATTCTCGAACTCCGCCACGAATATGTTCTCTCCCCCCGGCTTGAAGGACAAGCCTCTAGGGTTTCCCATGCCGGCCTCAACGCATTAGCAATAATCTGGATATGCAGGATTTTGCGATGAAGAACCTTGCCCGCGATCAGCCACTTCTCCTGGACTCCTTCTTCCAGATCATCGATCACCAAGGGGTAGCCTCCTCCTCGGTGAGATCTAGCTTGCCCATGGCTTCCTCCAGCCGCGCCCTTGCCGAGCGAGGCGACAACGGTTCGCCTGGGTTCGCGTTGTGCGCCGTGGGTGACGACGACGCGGAAGCCATCTCTCCCCGCCGCAGATCAGATCGCCCCGCCGACGACGATGTCAACGGGCACCCGCCGCCACCGGAACCCTAGTCGCCTTCGGTCGAGGGCTCCTGGTTTTTCGGGGAACTACGTAGGATCGTTGTGGATGGCATCTGGCTACCTGATGCCTTGACCATACGTACAGGATACATGCATGATCTATCTCACTATCTGCATTGTCTCGACGTGGGCGCGCACATGATTAGCAGGTTATCCTAACCCATCGCAACCAACGACCACGCGCCCGGGTGCACGGGGCACGGCGCGGCGTGCGTACGTGCATACGACGGCGCGGCACCGGTGCGCGCGCGTTGGCCTACTGGCATGGGCATGGGGTGGTGGAGCGGGGTGGGGGGTGCTGAGGGGGCATCAGAGCGCGCGTCTGGCCGGCCAATGCGAACGCCGTCCACAGAGCATGCAGCGTCGTGCGCGCGCGCGCCGATCGAGCCACCGACCGCGTATTCAGTACTTATCGAGCGAGCCCATCGATCGGCAGGTGATATTGCTCCATCAGATTGGCGGCGCGGAGCGGTCCTAATCTGAACCGTTTGGCTCCACGAGAAAAGCGATCGTGGAGGCAATCGCATCTGAGGCCAACTCCACCGGCCGCCTGTCCCTGCCTCTTCCGTTTGGCCACTCCGGTCACGCGAGGAGGTGGGGACAACCGCGCTTCGACGCCGGTCTGTAGTTAGGGTTTGTCTAGTGTCTCCTTAGGGCACCGTTGTGGTGGTGGGAGCGACGTCCGGGCAAATAAATCTGCCTCAACTCCACTCGCACACCGGCGGCGACCTTCAGGGCGGCGTCTTGGTGTTGATGGCAACGTATGTTGTTCGGTCCTGTAGATCGGCAGCTTGGTCTTCTCGTCGTTCTTCAAATCTGGCGATGAATAAAAGTATTTTAGTTTCTTCTTCGATGCGGTGTTCTACACTGTGGTTGGTGAGGGATCTAGACAGAAGTGTGTCCAAGCGGGGATGGTGTGGCGGCGGTATCTTCCCCGTGGTGGACTTGTGTTCTGGGGCTTCATCGTTGCGACGACGTTTTCTCCAACGTCGGAGTGGAGCCCGGGAGGTCGTCCAGGAGTACGTGCAGACTACTGTTTGCGCATTTCACAGCTGGAAGACGGTGTATCCTGTGCTGGTTTTGTGGTTGGAGGCTGACAGTTCTGGTTTCTTCCTCCGACGTTGTAGTCGTGCGGGGATGTCAGTTCTGGAGCTTGATGGCGTGTCCGGGGACATGTTGCCCCGGTCTGATTCGTTCAACGGCAATGGTTTTGCTTCTGGCAAATGACTTTGGAGGTCCGTAAAGCTATTGATCAGCGATGGAGCCGCGTTGAGCTCGGGTGTAGAGGTGATCTATCTTCCGTCCCTTTGATGGTCGCTTCGGTGGTGTCGAAGGAGGGAGATAGGCGCTGGTTTTTTGCATAGGTTTATCCTATCTTTTCAGGTCTGTAAGGTCTGTGTACGCGCCTTGTAACTTGATTTCATCTTATAAATGAGACATATATTACCATGCAAAAAAAGATTGGCGGCGCGGGATATACGG